GAAATAAAATAACTTAAAATTATTTTTTACTTCTTAATAATCAAAAGGCTTTTTTTTTGAACACACATTAAAAATTATAGATTTTTTTTTTCAAATCACTGTGGCCTCCAAGCAGAGAACTTTAAGCCATTCGTGAATATTTCTTACCTTCAAATTTGGACTTGTATCTTACAGTTAATTGAAGTTTCCAACATTTTTGCGGTTTTCAGTTTTATTTAAAATATTTATTCATGAAATTCCTGTTTTATTATGAAGCTTAAACCTTGGCATTATAGGTGGAACAACCGCCTTGCGAATTTGTGCAAACTTCAATCTGCTTGGAGTAATTTTCGACGACTTTTTTGTACATAGTCTATTGTCTGGTGTTAAATTTAAACACGGTCTTTGGAGCAGTCCTACAAAAAAAAAACAGTTCAACGTTTACAAATCGCACGATCTCTGGGATCAAATTTCACGACCGGCCAATTTCTCTTGCATTAAAGTCATATTCTTCCGTGTCATATGGCATTGGCATCATCTAGTTAATACCACATATTATCCAAATCGTGCTCTTCAGGTACAGACCAAAAAAAGTTGGTAATCATAAATTAGTAATGCCACGAATTAAGAGCGAAAGACTTGCAGCTATCGTCAGTCCTCTGGACCAAAGTCTGTCAGTTTTGTGATTGTAATACTCTCTTGAAAACTGATGTCCGCTGTTTGTTATTCAAGCACTCAGTCGTCGTAGGTAAGGCACTGTGTAGAGCCAGCTGGTTTCAGTTGTTGTTTGAGCTGGACTTTATAGGGATGGAGATTTAAGTGCAAATGCAAAATACGCCATAATGCGGCCTAAGAAAATCCCAGTTGTTGAGAGCGTCGAGAAAGACACATTTAGGACTTCGGCTAGACTTTTACTTACAGTAGCGACATTTGAGGTGGAACGAACCAAACGATGATGCACATGTCCTCATTATCTGTAGCCGATCCAGTTTCATCAAGCTTTTTTAAAATATTCCGATTAGTTTGAGTGCTTGGACGATTACTTACACCACAATATTCTCATAAAACACAAAACGTCTCCACATTTGAATAGTGATTTAGATTTTATGTGAAACCTTATACATCAGGTGTAGTAAAAAGAAATTCATTATTTTTAAATAAAATTTAATGGTTTAACTTTTTCTTATTCAAATGGTTCTAAACTGTATTTTGTGCTATCTTTAGCTCTTGGGTTATCAAAACAGTGCTCGCATATCGATCGAACTTGTTTTTTCGACATTTTCCACAATTGGCCTTCGACTCCTTCGACTCGACATCTTTTACGTGAAAATTACCGGAATGAAGCCGAAATTGTGAATGATTGATTGTAACAGCATCAGGACCATAAACCCTATACACATTTTAGGCCGCGTGGCTTGCGTTTTCGCCCTTACCGAAGAAAACCAGTAAAATATAGCGTTTTTTGTCTGCGCCAGTGTCCATCTTCGGCGCAAGCTCGAACAAGTTTGAAGCAACTAATCACAAAACTGTTAAAAAAAAAGTTCAATTAGTACGGAAAGTCAAACTTCTAACGCCATCTAGTGGAACCCAAACGGTCTTAGACAACACGAGATACAGATGAATAACACCATTTATTGGAGAAATAATGGATTTCTTTTTACTACACCTAATATATAAGCAAATTAAACATATTAGTGGTAGCAACTCAGTAGTGAGTTTTTTCGGCTGAATTACATACATATAAACATATGTAACTAAGGAGAAGCATTAAATTAGTTGCTAATGCCAAGGGAATCAATATACACATACAGTTTTTTCAGTTTCTTCATAGACATATTGGCACGTGGAAAGTACAAAATTGTAACATAAATATTTTAGTATGGCTTTTAATAAATTAGGAAAACTTCAAGAAAATTTTGAATCATAAAAATTTATTAAGTGACTTTTTTATTTGAATTTATAAGCATTGAAATATATCGTCACTAAATTATTATATACATCCAAGCTCACAGCCAACACGTTCTATTATAATTTTTCAAAGAATAAATAACAAAAGACCAACAACAAATAATAATTCATACGTCTTTATAATGGCAGCATAAGTGGACTTAAGAAAAAAGCAAATCCGCCTTTTGGCACTAATAACTTTGGAACAGTGTTAATATATATACTCGTACATACATATATATGAGTACATAAAAACTTTGCGAAATTATTGTCACGCGTGTATTTTTATTAATTTTTCACTTTTAATGCCAAATCTCATTTGAATACTTTGGCAATTAAACAATTTCTCTGGCATGAATTTATCATTTTTCATTTTTTTACGCCATCCCCCTTCTGCGATTGTCTTTCTGCCACTCTACTCCTGCGTTCTATGTCAACATTAAATCTCTTGCTTTTATTACGCAACTTAATGCATGATAATTCAGCATTAAAGGACTCACTTATTTATATCCAGCAGCCGCATATTCCTTTTTGTCGCCTAACATTATTACTTAAACGAAAGTAAAAAATATTTCATAACATCTTAGATTAAAATATGTGCATATACTTATGCCTGTGTAGCCATAATTTAGTCTGGAATTTTTCGCACAAGCACCCAGTGTAGGTTGGTTAGCCAAGATCGCATAGTCAATCCGCTACACGCCACATGCCGCATGTACACTCATAACCAGACCTACAGACACCTACACACACACCCACACACACCCACTGACAGCCACGCTCTAACACCTTATGATAGATTTAACGTTTATGAGCTAATTAACAACACACTCAACATACTCAACGGTGAAGGATTCGCGCCTCAAGCAACATCCCTCTCTATTCTTTAAAGTCCTTTGTATTTTTCATTGTTTTAGAATTTACATCTTTTATTCACAACATTTTAAACTGACTGACTACTTAAGAGATGCTATTGAGTGTGTCCTAAATCCTTATACGTTGGACGCGCACTGGCATATATTGCGGTAAAGCTGTGTTGGCCTATTTATATATACATATTTGGCGCTTAGTAGTCGCTGAAGCGACTTTCGGCCGAGCTCCTCCACCAATTTGTGGTTTTGTGTCTTGATGGAGGAGCCTACAGTTTATACTAAGCCGCCTCCGAACTTCTGATGGTCTTTTTATGAGAAGCCATTCTTTCACGTCAGAAATACACACGGAGGAGTGGACATTCCCTGCCGAGAGGCGACCGCAATTGGAAAATTTAACTTAGTTTTTTATTTAACTTAATTTTCTATAGTCTTTGGAAGTTGGACGTACTAATATTTGAGTCCGCCCATTAGTTTATCTAAAAAATAGAGGTTTCTATTCACTGAAGTGTATTAAGGCCGAGTTATTCCTCCAATATGAGGTGTGCATCTTGTTGCCGCCTCCGAACAGCCGTGAGCCGCCGTTGGCTTATTTAATCCTTCCTTTAATCCTTCTTAGAATACACAAATAGACATATCTACATCATTTTCTTCTTTGTTGGCGTACCGCTAGCGCTAGTATAACCGAGCAAACAACAGCCCACCAGTCCTGCCTTCTTGTTAATCCGCATATACCGAAGTCGATTTGGCTCGGTCCATTTGGGGATGTTTCGTACTGGAGGCTGAGTTAGCCAACTGTTGAGTTTAGTGCAACCTTCTTTGCCTTTATCTTTGGAAGTATTAAGAAAAAATCACAGTTTAAGGTGGGTTATGGCGATATTTTTGCCTACTAGGATGAACGGTAATACTTGAAAACTGAGTATTCTGCCATGCGGTCACCAATCCGTGTAAATCCTTGGATTACGTCTTAAAGAAAATAATCTGTATTAGAGCTACGCCAACATATCCGACTTAAAGATTTACAGAGGTCGTACTACGCAAGTTTCTACTGACGTAAAAAAAAATTTTAAGATTTCTTCACTGAAAGCATTTGGCTGCCACCGATCGGCTCATTTTCAAACGCACTCTTCTTTCTGAAGTTTAGGAATTTTTTGCCGACTTGGATTCTTCATCTCTATCATTTCACTGAACTCGTATAAAATGACTACGACTCTTCCTGATGTGAGCTAAACAATAGCAGAGACTCGAGAAGCAGAGCAGGTAAAGTAGTCTTGACAAACCTTCAGGAGTTGGTTAATGCCTCTAGCCACGAAAACCTGCAGAAATCTGAATAAAATAATTAAAAATATAACGACAAATATTTGATTTCACCTACTCGTCAAATCTGTGTTAAAAGGGTGAGGGTCTTTAAAAATCTGCTTTAATTTTACAGTCGATGTTTGTATGCTGATATTTAAAATCTACTGCTACTCACTAACCAACGCCTTCTACTAACAGAGTTCGTGGAATATTTTTTCGATTAATTATCATTACTTTTAGGCCCATATTATCATTGTACAATATTTTTGTTTTCATTATCTCCTCTTCTCACATGCGCCACTGTAAGTCTTATCATTCTCGCTGTAACTCGTGATATCTATCAAGTTACAGCTTTAAAAATTGATACAGTGCCTCATGAAAGTGCGAACTCAAATTCAATACATCACATACGATTCCAGCTCTCTCCCTCTCTTTCTTTTTTTTACGGAGTAAGGATATTCAAATATATACTTTTTCCGACCAAAAGATTCCAAACCAACTTCAGGAAATCAAGTTCTCTTACAAATTGGCAGAACAAGATGGTTGAAAACCGCCTCGGCGTCTAGAAAGCTCCAATTATATAACAAGCATTTCCATTTTATGGAAATATGGAATAGAAGATTTTTTTTAACTTTTATCCTTTTTAGCGGAAAGATTCCTTTAGTTAGTTAGACTTTGAACCCGCGTGTGGGCTCAAAATAATAACTTTAAAAAAATTATGAAATAATTAATTTTTCAACTGGCAGAAAATTGATAAAATGCAATTCTTCTTAAATTCCAAAGACTCCTTTATGGCCTCTACCGCCAATGTATACTTTTTAAATTTAAATTTTTTCCTTTTCATTTTTTCTATCATACAGAAATCAAACTCTAATATCCTTTATTTTTTTTTTCATTTATTTACAGAATTATAACGAATTACTTTGTAGTATCCCTAGCTATGGCTGATATAATGGTAGCTATGATGGCCATGACGTTCAACTTTAGTGTGCAAGTAACCGGACGGTAAGTAGAGATCAAAGGAAATAAAATACAATTAACTGCATGAAGCTTAGTTAAAATTAATTTTATTTGATGTTGTAATAGTCTATTTCAAAAGTATTGTTATTAATATATATTTAAATGAACAAAATAATTATTTATTTTTTGTACGTTTTAACATAGAGATTTCGACCTCAATAATCTTAAAGCTTAAACAACATTTATAAAATTTCTCTTGACTAGGGTTGAGGCCTTGCGTCTTACGAAAAAATAATCATGATTCATTTGAAAGGTCTAAGAAGAAGGATTTTAAGGGCTTAGGTTGAGTAGAGAGTGGTGTCAGTACAACCTTTCCTGATGCGCAACTCATGCCGGGTGTTTCATTGCGAAATTTTTAAGTCTGAAGATAATTGCATATTTTGTCCATCGCACCAATAGCAACTTCGAAATCAGCCGAGTGATTGATGTCTGAGTCGTACTCAAATGCAACTGCGAACAAATGATCCACGCATTGCTGCGCGGTTGGTCCGATGATTTCCTCGGTTTTGTTCTCTAAATGAATCTATGCGTAGTTGGCGTGCCACTCTGCTTCTCAATGCATTTTTTTGTCAACGATTATCACATGTTCTCGTGATTCTCGTGCACGAATTTCAGCTGTGCGAATTCTTCGGGCTGCATATCTCTCTGCTCTGCTCTGCTCCGCTCTGCTCCAACTGACTGATGAGCTCTTTCAACACGTGCACATCGAGTCTTCTTGCCACGGGCTTTAAGGTTGAATTTTTTGTATCGCATTTTACTTAAAATAGAAATTGAAATTTTTATGTGAATGAATTTCGCTTTCCTCAGATTTTGTAGAATATATATTTGGCTGTAACCTTTTGCCATCTTCCTGGCAAATTTTGTATTCCACGCTCATAAAACTTCTGGCCTTTATCTGCAAAAAAACTGAACCAAGTGCGACTTTATAGCCTCATCATTGCCGAAAGTTTTACCATTTAAGGAGTTCTGCAAAGATCGAAATAAATGGTAGTCTGATGGTGCATAGTCAGGGCTATATGGTGGATGCATCAAAAGCTCCCAGCAAGCTCACTCAGTTTTTGGCGAGTGACCAAAGATGTGTGCGGTCTAGCATTGTCCTGGTGGAATATGACACCTTTACGATTGACCAATTCTGGTCGCTTCTCCTTGATGGCTGTATTCAATTTGTCCAATTGTTGACAGTAAACATCCGAATTAATCGTTTGGCTCCTTGGAAGCAGCTCAAAATATACGACACTCTTCCAATCCCACCAAACAGACAGCATAACCTTCTTTTGGTGGATATCAGCCTTTGAAGTGGTTTGAGCTGGTTCACCATGCTTGGACAACTAACGTTGTTGTAAACAATCCATTTTTCATCTCCAGTTATGATTCGTTTTAAAAACGGATCGAATTCATTGCGTTTAAGGTGCATATCACAAGCGTTGATTCGGTGTGTTAAATGAATTTCTTTCAATACATGTGGTACCCAAATATCAAGCTTTTTCACCAGTCCAAGACTTTTTATGTGACAATGAACGGCTGATTTTGGTATATTTAACTTCTCTCCTATCTCACGTTCAGTTACATGACGATCCAATTCGATTAATGCTTTGATTTGGTCATCATCAACTTCATTTGGCTGACCTGAACGTGGCTCATCTTTAAGTGAAAAATCTCCAGAACGGAATTTGCGAAACCAATTTTGACACTGTCTTCTTTTAAGGCTTCATCACCATACACATCTCGTAACTTTTTAGCAACCTGCTCCGCGTTTTTTCCTTTACGAAAATAATAAAGTAAAATATGACGAAAATGCTCCTTTGTGGGCTCCATATTAAAATTGACGCCAAACAAACAAATGTAAACAAAATTTCGCGCACTTTTTTTCTAAAGCAAGCTAAAAGTAACAGCTGATAACTGACAGAAGAAAGAATGCAATTACAGAGTCACAAGCCGTTGAAAAAATTTATCAACGCCGACTATATGAAAAATCCGCAATTACTTTTTGGGCAACCCAATATATCACATTAAGGTGTGGCGCCATCTTTGAGGGGCAAAGAACAATATCTCTTTAAAGAAATTCCCATAAGGCGCCACGTGCTCCAGACTTACGGACCCTACGATTGATAACAACAATCATTGCTGGTGATCGGTTTTTTATTAATTATTGAGACCATTAATTTAAATAATAACTATCCTATCATCTAAGTTGGACATATATACATATATACATACATACATATGTATGTCAACTTTCATAAATATTAGTTTACTCGTTTTTGAGTTATTTCGGAATATACACAAAGGATTTTTTTTATCGAAATCGAGACGTTTTTCGGCAATTTACTTATTTACACTTACACATTTGTCTTTTTGCTTGGATTTACAGGAAGACTACAATGGGGACTCACCAATTCAAAAAAAATCTTATTTGTAGTTTGATTCACACAAAACTTCTTCGGAAGATTCTTCTTTTCTCCAGTAAGTGGACCGGGGACTGATGTATTAACTTTTGGTTCGATTTACTTGAAAGTGGCTTTTTGCTAAGATTGACAGGGAGGCTACACTTCTCTCCGGGAAGTGGTCCAGGACCTGATCTATTAAAAAAAATTAATTTATAATTCGATTTACTTAAAATTTGATACATATATAGCCTTTGGCTTAGTTTAGCAGGAATACTACTTTTGTTTCCTGGAATAGTACCTAAGACCGATCTATTCGAAAAAATGGTTTCTATGGTTTGAATTAATATAGAAAAATTTTCCGAAGTGGACTAAAAGTCACCGAGCAGATATTTGATTCGCTTGGTCTATTCCGTAATCCAATAGATGGCATCATTCGTTGACTTAAGCAGAAGCTTTGTTGAGAGGCACGTCAGTGTATATACGGGATCCGTTTCCCTGCATTTTTTTTAAACATTTATATTTATTTATTGAATCTGCTTTATTGTCAGTAGCCTCACAATAAAATGGCAGATCTTAGAAACTAAATTAAAATATAATAGCCCATTAGTCAGGGATGGGCTGATGGCTCAATGTCGCCCTTCACAAGAGTAGTAAGTCCCTTCTCTTCAGCCGCATTTGACTTATTGCGGAGGCCAAAAAGATAGCCAAAAGGTTCAGATAATAGTTCAGTTTTGCTTTGTACTTTTGTGTTATAATTTCAATCTTTTCCTTGATTGTGCGTATGTTTAAATCTCTGTTGATATTTGCATTACGCATCTACCATAGTGCGCCTGTTATTATTCTCAATTGTTTCGATTGGAAGCCTTGTATTATATCTAGATTTGTCACGCTGTAACCTCTAACTGGATTCCATTAATCCATTTTTATAGTGGATTTTTTAGAGAAGGACTTTGTTTTCAAGGCTGAGCCCAGATTTCTTGCTTAAAAGCCAATATAAACTGGAAAATTTAAGCTTCAGCTGCATCTTTTTGGCAGAAATGTGTCGCCTCCAAGTTAGTCGTCTATCCAAGTAGATGCCAAGGTATGTGATTTCGCTGGCCTTGCATTTAAGTGCATAAAAGTAGAGCAATTCAATAGCGTGCGCTATGACAATTGTCATTTCAATGAATTATGCTGAATATACATATTGTATCCAAGTGAGAGAGAAAATAATTCTCAGAACAAGACATATGGTTAATTTTTAGTACACAAGCGTTCTCGCTCACTGAGGAGCCCTTCTGCTGAAAACAATTTATAGTTTTTCCTAAATTAATAACTCAGGACTGAAATCGAATTTAACTTCATTAAGAGAATCTTAGGGACCGATTCATGCGAGATAATCAAAGTTACGATTCGATTCATTTCAAGTTAAATTTGTTGGTAGGTTATCGTCTAAATTAAGATGCAGAAACTGGTTCTTAACAAATTTATCAATTGGCTTGAATTTTTCACCTTTTATTTGTATGAGCTGCCTGAACTTTTCTTATCTGAACCGCTTAGTTTAATTTAAGTCATTTTATGAGAATTCAATCAAATAATTCACATTCAGATTTGAACTATATACATATATTTGAAATAACTCTAACAGGCCTATTCCGTCGAGGTGAAAAAATTTTCTTAGGTATTAAAACTTACCATTCACTAAATTTTGTTACTATTTCGTATTCTAAGTTCACTGGCACCCTGTAAATTTTGTTACCAGCGAAATAGGAGGTAACAAAAATATCTGCTGTTTGATTTTGTGTTGTAACTTTCAGAAAAAATAAAAACCAAAATGAGTAGGCACATTTTAGGCCTGGAATTCATTGAAGATGAAGAAAAAAGTGCAAAAAGCCGTATTTTAAGAAGTTTTGGAGACAAAAAATAGCCGCTTAATTTGTAAGATAACGTTTTCATTCAGCTTTTTTTTTTTGTTGTCCAGGCATATTTTCCATAATAAGGTTCAAATATTTATGACTTAATAAACAAATTAATAAAACTTTTTAATTTTTTCGGGCACCGCCTTCCATTTCGAAGTGAATATTTTTCTTTTTACTTTATCAACTGGCAAATGTAATTTGACAAGAACGAAAAAAGCAGTGAACCACCAAATTCAATTTCGGGTGTTAAAGTAAAGTAAAAAAATTTTTTTTACCGGTAACAGTGAGAATAGGCCTGTTGATATAATGTAAAGAGATGTAAATAAGGCGAGTGGACGTTCCCTCGCTCTGATGGTACTTATATATTATTAACTCCAGTAAAGAAAAAGAATTATGTGAACAATAAAAGGTTCAGAGTTCCACAGCTATAACTACACAACGGCATTTTATTAAAAGTAACAAATCGGAAATGAAAAAAGGCGGAAAATACGTCTCTTATATTTCTTGGGATATTTTAAACGTATTAAAATCCAACGGTAGGCGCTCATCATGCCTTCATGCGAAATTCCAAGATATCGTCTTTTGATATTATCAAGATCTTGCCAATGGCAATCCCCTACTTCGCCCCTTGTATCACTGAAGAGAATAAAAATAATCTCAAAGGTAACAAAAATTCCTTACAACAACGTGTCGGCATTTC